TTGAAAAGCATTTTGTTGGTCAGTAGTCCAGATATAATTCATTTTCTTTTTGAGTAATCTATTCAAGAATTTGGTTATTTTTGAGAAGCTTTTTATAAATTTACAGTAGTAGAATGCAAGGCCTAAGAATACTTGAAGTTGAGTAGTGTTTTGAGGGATAGAATAGTTTTGTATAGCTAGTATTTTAGAGAGGTCAGTTTCAATACCTTTTTTACTAATTATATGACTAAGAAAAAGTAGCTTTTGCTTAAAGAAGAAATACTTTTTAGGGTTTAACTTTAAACTAGCTTCCTTGAGATGTTCAAACACTTGTTTAAGGTATTCCAAATATTGTTCAAATGTTTTTGCTTCAATGTTAATATTATCTAAGTAAACTACCACAAAGTTTCAGAGCAAGTCCTTTAAGACTGTATCAATCAATCTTTGAAATATTGCTGATATATTATATAACCCAAAAGGCATAACTGTAAATTCATAAGTACTAAACTGAGTTATGAAGGTAGTTTTTTCCTGATTCTGAAGTTCTATGAATATTTGCCAATATCTACTAGCCATGTCCAAACTAGTTAACTACTTAGAGTATGTTAAGGCTTCTAACAGATCATTAATTTGAGGGAGAGTGTAGTTATCCTTTTTGGTTGCTGCATTTAATTTATAGTAGTCTACACAGAATAGTTTTTTATTTTTTGTATCAACTATTACAACTGGAAAAGTCTAAAGATTTTTACTAGTTACAATTAAATTATACTTGAGTATTTCCTGAATTTCCTCCTTAATGAATTGCTAATTTTTAAACAAGGTGTAGTAGAAGTTTAGTTTAATAGTTGTTATATTTATGGAGATAGTATGAGTTATAGCTTTAGTCCTTCCAAATTTATAAGGTTTCCAAATGAATAGATCATTATATTCTTTTATAAATTCTAATAATATTTGTTTATTCTGGGGTTCTAATTTATCTACTATATAGTCACAAAATAATGCACCCCTATGTATTATTTTATTCATCTGTGTATTATTTTAGGATGCCTATATGCATTATTTCAAAACAAAAGAATGATTTTTCAAAACAGGTGATTACAAAATAATGTACATAGGCACAGTACTTATACAACCAACTAATTAATTAATTATATAATATATAATATTAGTATAAAAGCCTAATTTTGATATTAATAATGATATGCAAAAAGGTGTTACTTAAAATTAATCTTCATATATATTGATACCTTTATATATACTCAGCCTTCTGATCTGCAATACCTACTAGCCAAATTAGACATGACTAAAAATTGATAGATATATATAAACAAAAAAATTTTTTCCTTTAAAACCTTGAATCAATAAAATTGAATGAATATAAAATCTATTCTAAATTGTAAAAAGAATTTGAAAGGATAATAGCACACAGAATGCTAAATACTATTAAAAAAAAAAAAAAACAGTTTTATTATAATATCTTATTCTATGCCATAATAGCTCTAACCACTAGAATAAATTTTATCATGATTTTTTAATTTTAATTTTTTTAAGACCACTTGTTCAAATTATGCAAAAAAATTTTTTTTAAATAATATTATAATATATGATAAAGTACCCTAATATATTTGCTGTATACTTTTTAATTTTTACTTTATTTAATAGATACGAACAAAAAACAAAGCTACATCATCTATTTAAGCTAGAAGTAATATTATATATAGAATCCTCATCCAACTGTCATATATCATTGTTTTTTAAGATTGATCATAGGTGAGTTCAGGAGTAGAGGTAGCAAAAGCTAGAGCTTGAAGCTATTAAAAACAATTAGAATCAAAATATAAACTAGGTGCAGATACTTAATAGTCATAATAGGAAAGCCAAATACTCTGATTTAGAAAAAGAACTAGTGGATTATATCAAAAAAAAACAGGAAGAAAAGATTTCTGTTACAACTCACATAATAAAAAAAAAGACAAAGGATTTAAGAGAAAATCTAAATATTGAAGCCAAGTGTTCTTATAACTAAATTAAATATTTTAGAAAATATCATAATTTAGTAGAATATGCTTGAATACAAACTGCTCAAAAGTTCTTTGAAGACATGCTATTGGTTATTAGTAGATTTCTTCAAATTTCACACAAAGCAACAAAAAATATTAAAAAAAAATTTATCATCTCTTTTGATAAAACGCCAATCTGGTTTGACATGTCTTGAAATTCAATGTTCAATTTTTAAAGTGTTTGTAATATAGTGATCAGAAGCACTAAAAATGATAAACTACATTTTATATTAGTGTTAGGTTTTATAGCTTCTAGAGAAAAGCTTTTGCTAGCAGTAATCTTTAATTAAAAAAAAAGCCAAAAGAAAAATTTCTATAAGATATTGTTTTAGCAACAGCACCTTGTACAAACATACAAGTAAATCTGATAATCTCCACTTATATTCCAAAAGTTATTTGAACAAGGCTAAAAGTGTTTTTTAAAAGCAAAGATATAATTTTTATTAATAGATATCATAGTTACATACTTGATAATGTAGTTAAAGCATTGAACAGGGAAGGTTTAGATATCTTAGAAATATATAGTAGTACAACTTGCAATTTGCAACTACTAGACATTTCAGTAAATAGATCTTTTAAAAATAGAATTAGAAGAAGATAAGATGAATAAATTGATAAAGAGAAAAGAGAGTTTACTATAAAAGAAAACTATAAGAAAGCATCATATGAGTTGATTTGCAAATAGGTATCTGATATATAGAAAAGAATTAGTACAAGCCTTTTGACTAAATCTTTTAAAGCATCTAGGCTTATACTCAACTCTGATAGTAGTGAAGACTATAAAATGTTGAACTATCTCAAAGCTATTATTAATAATCATATAGATAAGGCTAATATGAATGTATTGTGTGAAGCTAAAAATGAATTAGGTGTTAAAAATTTATCAGATGATGAGAATGATGAGAATAATAGTAATAATAAGGACAATATGAGTGATAACAGTAATTTGACAAATAATAAGGATGATGAGAATGCAATAGATATCAATAAAGCAATATAAATTGATAGGTTAGTAAGTAAAGCCTTTTTTTTTTATTATTATTAGCATTTTTGTTCTGCTTACCTAACTTTAAGCAATAGTTCTTAACTACTTATTAATGATTACATAACTATAATTCTTTTTTTTAATTAGCAGTAAAATTTATATTTAATTCTGAATCTAAAGACACATGATTCAAAGCTTAGTTAGCTAAAATAAAAGAAATAAATTAGCAAAAAAAATAAAAAATAAAAAAAATAAAAAATAAAAAAAAATAAAAAATAAAAAAAAATAAAAAATAAAAAAAAATAAAAAATAAAAAAAAATAAAAAATAAAAATGCAAACTTATTATTTCTAGTTCTAATGCCAAAAAAGATTCAATAGATTTAGTATAAATTTGTTAAACTTTGTGTATTGAAAGACTTATTTGATCACAATTTATATAATAATAAACTGAGCTACTAATATCTACATAAACTAAAAAATCTGATACATTATTAATATGAAATATTTAATATTTCATATACAAAACTATAAAAAAGATATCTTAAATAAGTGCTAGAATATGAAGTTAAAAGTATTATCACAATTAGAATCACAAACTAACTGATTTATCACATAATTTGGCTTATTATTAGTAGTTACACGATTTGTTATATTAAAAATTTTAGCACATTAGTCAAGTGAAATATCAGAAAATTTTATGGGTAATGATTTAATTAATAGATCTACAAGTTGCAGTATATATGAAATAATCTGACGATCTATATACTCCTATAATTAATTTAGTTGAGTTATATTTTAACTTGTTAAGAAAATAGACTGAGAAATTATGAGGAAATAAAGTTAGTAATCGAATAAGTTGTAGAATTATTAAACCAAAAAGACCTCTTAAAACATTTTTGATATTATGTAGAATAAATAAACTTTGATAAAAAAAATAATTAGTGAGGAAAAAACTTAGTTCCTCTTCTATGTTTTGTTAAAAAAGATAGTTTTCACTCCTAAGTTAATACTTAAATCTTATAATACAACTAACATTATTTATTATAACAAAATTTTTTTATTATTTTATATTTTTAAATTATTTATATTTTTTTCTTTTTAGGTACAAAACTTTAAAAGTATCTTGTTTTGAAAATGGCTTCTTAGAACTATCAATAAAATTTAGCTTGAAATTTGATTAGTTAATATAACTAATTTATATTTATGTAATATCAATACATTAATACATAGTATTTTTTTTTAAAGAGTTCTTGATCAAATAAAAGCCAACACTTATTAACAATTATGTGAATTACATTACTAGAGTAGAGAATAAAATTATTTTAAAATTAGTTTTCTGCTTGACTTTTTTTTATTTATATTTATTCATTAGATTTTTGAATACTAAGAAAATCTAGCCTTTATCAAAGCTAAAATAATTTGTTAAATAAAAAATTAGTTGATATGAAGTTAATTTTTTTAAATTAACAATCTCTAAATTTGCATTTTGTTGGTATATTGGGATATTTTAGAACAATTTTATGTATTGTGAGCTTTATGAAAAATATATATAATTGGTTTAACTATTAGTATATATCTGTTAAATTGAAGTTTATACATATAGGCATATTTTATTATCTAGGTTTGTATTTCAATTTGTAATTATAGTTATACAAAATATAATTAGTTTTATAGTAAAAGATTAATAAATATAAAAGAAAGAGAATTAGTAAGTTTGACAGTTCTTTTTTCAAATTATTAGTAATAATAAAACAAATCAGTTGAAATATTATTAGTGTAAAAAAAAAAATCAAGTAATATAATATGTAAGGAAAGAGTTATTAGTGGAAGTATTAACAAAAAATGAATTCATTTTTTGTTAATTTATATTAATAAAAAACAAATAAATATTATCTGCTATGTTAATAATTAGAACCCAAGAATTCTTTATATAATGAACTCATTCTAGTGAGATCAAACCTACTTGTTAAACAATATGGCAGTTATTATTGTATCCAACTCTTGTAAACTATATAACTATATATTATATAAATATTTAATACACTTTTGGTATATGTATTCATTATTCATTTAAAAAAATAATGAGTTAAAAACAATTAACGTTAATATATTTCTGGTATATTTAATTATTAGGTTAGTATATAACAAAACTATGCTCTAAGTATATATATATAAAATTATATAAAATCTTTAGTTAAAATAAATATTGCATCTTATAGTAAAATTATTTTTGAAGTTTTTACAAATCAAAAGGTATAAAGAATATTAAAAAAAATCTAAGATATATGCAATATTCGATTACTAAAATAATAATACTTAATATTTAAATCTGTAGTTCTATTTTCAAATTAATATAAATGAATAAGATGATAATTTAATATTTGTATTTTTAGCTTGATACATTCTTTTGGATTACTAGAAGATGCTTAGTAGTCAAATTAACTTTCAGATAAAAAGATAATTGAACACTTGTATTTTCTGTTTGATATATTCTTTTGAATTGCTAGAAGATGCTTAGTAGTTGAGTTAACTTTCAAATAAATAAGAAAATAATTGGATATTTGTATTTTCAGCTTGATATACTCTTTCAGATTACTAAAATATGCTTAATAGTCAAGTTTACTTTCAAATAAATATGATATTAATTAGATATTTTGATTTTTGTTTAATATACTCTTTATATAATCAAAAACTTTTATTTTTATAAAATAGAATTTTTAGAAGATACTCAGTAATTAGGTTTATTAACAAGTTGAGGTTTAAAAAACTTTTATTAAAAGTAAAAATTGAGTATTTAAATATAGAAAAAAATTTCTGCAGATAATTATTAAAATGTACTATATTTTCTTTTTTATAACAGTGATAGAACTTTTAATTACAGTGATAAAAGGAGGCACAAAATACAAAATCATTGAATCTTATATTAAATTCTCTTTTTCAAAAAAACTATTTGGAACTATAAAGGTATCTTAAACACAAACTTACTATTGATAAAATTTCTTTTTACCTACAACTCATTCTAAATATAAATAATTCTCTGCACAGCTTTTCAGATTATTAGTACAGATAAAAATCAAGCTATATAATAATTTCTTCAAAGATACAACTAATTTCTGCATAGCTTTTCAGTTATTGAGTAGATAAAAATCAGGCTATATAATTATTTTCTATCAACAAACCTATTGCGAAATATTTACCATATCTCTCTAATTTGAAAGTAAACAATTATCTATTGTCTTCTAAAAAGAATATATATAATATAAATTAGTTAATTATTTTTTTGCAAAAGATTTTCATTACAATAAGAATGCTATACAAAGAAAACTAACTAAATATAGAAGAAAATATAAGCATAAATGATAATACATTATAGGATAAATTAGCCTTTCTAATTGATAATATATTGGGCTTTAAATTATATAATATTCTAGACTTGGCTCCTGAAAAATATAATCAGTAGCCAAGTTTGGAATGCCATATAATTTAAAGCATAATGTATCATCAATTAGAGAAGCTAAATCAGATATCAATCAAAATGTTCCATTGCGAGATTAATTATTTTTAAAAATTATTACACAAAATGATAAAAAATTAAGGCATATCTAATTTGTAATATGCTAATAACATATTTTGATTAATGTCACTCTACTGTATATTACATTTAGACAAGCTTTAATTTTTTATCATTTTGTGCAATGATTTTTTAAAAATAGTTAATCTCATGATAGGATGTTTAGATTGATGATATCAAATAATATATATAAAAACAAAATTATATTTTTTCTTAGCAGAACTCATATAGTTGCGAAACTAGATATATGTAGCAGTAAAATTTTTTATTATCATAATTTGAAAGTAAAATAATTAAAAAAAAATTGATAATAAATAAATAATTTTAAATATGAAATTTTAATTGTAATTAATTGTATTTTTAATTGTATTTAATTATATTTTATTTTTAAAGTAATTTAATTACAAGTTTAAAAAAGTTTAAAACATTTTAAGTTGAAATAAAAGAACTCTATTTATAGTAATTATCTATTGAATTAATTATTTAACTACTCAACTTTTCAATTACTCAATTGTCTAATTATTTAATCATTTAATGATTCAATTACCTCAAGCATAATTACACAATTATTTATTCATTCAATTACCTAATTATCAAATTGTTCAATTATCTAATCATTCAACTATAATTTATTTATTCATTGAATAATTTAATCACTCAACTACTATATTGTTCAATAATCTAATTGCCAATTGTTCAATCATTAATCTATTCAATCTCCTAATTGCTTGATTATATAATTAATTGATTATTATTTCTTATCCATAAATCTAAGGAAAATAAATAAAATAAATAAAAATTAATAAAATATCTTATTATTATAAGAAAAAAAAATAATAAAAAACAAATAAAAAAAATAAAGAGGTTTATGATTATATAAAAAAGTAGAAATCTGAAGTAACTACAAAATAAAATTCAAATCTTAGATTATAGAATCTAGTTACATTACACTTGAGAAAGTACTGAGAGTTAGAGTTTTCAGTATAAGTAATACATAGTTTGTAACAAAATATCTATTTGAGTATTGTAAAGGAAAAACCTAGAAATGAATACCAAAGAAATCATTATAACAGATTTATTGTATTATAATATAATATGATAAATCTGCTACAGTAATAATTTTTGTATTTACTTCCAAGCTTTTCCTCTGCAGTATTTATAGAATTTATTAGAAAATTTAATATATTGCAATTTACTAACTAACTTAAATAAAGAAAATAATTGCAATTATTAGAAGTTAATTGGTACAAATAATAACAGATAGATAACAATAACAAACTTATCTTTTGCTTCTGTCAAGTACAATAACTTCACTAATTCTTAGTATATAAGAAAAACCATAATATATTAGTTAGGTTCTAATTAAAGTGAGGCATTTGGCTTTGCTAAAAGTACTTCTTAATTAGAGAATAGCTTTATTTTGCATCTTCTAATTTCACTTTTCTTTAATTTCACTTATAATTTTAGTTTTTTTTGATTTAGTTTAGTATTTTGTTTCGAAATTGAAATAAGCTTCTAGTATCTATTTAGTTATTAACAAGGTTATATTTAATCAGATTGATCATGAATACTAATTGGTACCCATGATTATACTTAACTTCTTGTGTAAGATTTTTTATTTTGGCTCTTATAAATAGTGATAGCTTTCTAAAATATTTGATAAATAGGTTTTATATATTTTCATACAATACTATTTTTATATTGTAAAACCAGTTTATTTTCATAAAAAAAAAACAATGTCAAAGTAAGAGATTTTGTTAATTTTATATGAAAATCAGATTTTAGCATATAGTTCTGATTATCATAATTTCTATATTAAAATAATTTCTATTGCAGATCCTATAACAAATTGTATGATTATTAGTGAGTATATATTATTTCAGAATGTATATACATATTATTTTGAACCAAATTTAGTATTTTTAAAAGGTCAAATTTCAAAATTATGCTCATGTATATTATTTCATAACAATACAGTATGTTATATTTTTCCTTATCTAGTTGCTTTAGTTTATCCTTAGATTTTAGCTCAGGTTCATTATAGTATAGCTCAGTATTGAATTTAGTATAGACTTGTTTATAGATTTTCTGTTTAATTTTTATAGCTTCTTTCTTAGTATAGCAAAATAGACTTTTACTGAAATCAAAGTCTTCTTCATATTCTTCCTCATCATCTAATTCTACTATTTTATCTTCTACTATTTGTTTATTCTTTTGTATTTCAGAGACTTCAATGCTAACTTCATAGTTAGAGAATTTTTGTGATTTGATTTTAATAGTAATTATTTTGTTATTCTAATATATAGTTATGATATTATCCTTGTAATTTATATTTGCTTTTGTTTTCCTTAACCAGTTATTTCCTATAATAGCATTATAGAAATTAGACTCAGTAATTATGATATTAAAAGGGATTATTTAACTATATATTTCTAAGAAAATATCAGAGACTGCTTCTAGAGGTTGATAGCATTTATTATTTATATTGATCATAACTGTCCTAGAGGCTTAGGTTATTTCTATATCCAGATTCTTTAATAAGTTTAGAGACATTATACTTCCAGCTGATCCAGAGTCAATAATAGGAGAGAATTTAATATGTTTAATGGTAGTATTATAATACAAAAAGGTAGACCTTTTCTCTATTGCTTTGTTTAGATTTGTATTAATTAAACTTCTACTTAGTTGTTCATCATTATGTTCCATAAACTCAAGGTCCCTATTATCAAGAGTTGAGACAATTGGCTGTTCAGGTATTTTTCTATTATTATTATTATTAGAGAAGTTTTTAGTGTCTTTTTTATCAGTACTTTCAGATACAGATACTTTTTTGGTTATAGGCTTTCTAAGCTTTTCAGTAATAGCTCTACTAAATTTAGAGTTTATTGCTAATAATTGTCTATTTGTTATATTTGCAGGTTGGTTAAAGAATTGTTGAGAGGTGTAGGATGTAATTATTTGATTTACAGGTAGTATAGCTGCTAATTTTCTTTTTACTACTTTTCCTTTTTGTTTAATATTCTTGGTTGTTTCCTTTTTATTTGAGTCATCAGTTCTTTCATCTTGATTAACTCATTGTTTTTTTGCAGAGTATGTTTTCAGAGTAATTATATTAGAAGGAATTGTAGATTGGGCTGTATATCATTCTCATGAGATACACTTCCTAGTTTAAATATTGTTGTTGTTAAGCTTGTTACTGTAGTTAAACTTGAGGTTGTACCTGAGTTTGCTGTATTAGATAGTGAGGTTAGGCTTACTGTTGTTGTTGATTAATAGGTAGTACTTGTATCTAAGATTGAATTATAGATTGAGATTGAAATTGCTATACAAAATTATTAGGTACAAGTTGGATAAGAAGTTGCAAGAATTAGTTAACTTGTAGAGCTTGTTCAGATTGAGCAGGTTGCTAATTATTTGGTACAGAATTTATAGAATTCATATAGTTTATAGGATTAGCAACAGAAGGTATAATATTTTGATAGTTCATATTTTGAATTTGAGAGCAGGTTCTACAAGTATATCTAGGTTGTTTACATTAATAACAAGCAAAATTATTTGGCCTTTGAGGTCAAGGTCCAGGTTGATAAGGTTGAGATTAGTTAGCCTGAGCTTGTTAATAGTTATTATTATTTCTAGGATTATTTCAAGATTCAGTATTTATTTGTTGTAACTGTTGAGTTAAAACTTGTAGACTTTAAACAAGTTGATCCATTTGATTATTTGGTTGAGTAGGTACTATGTATTTATTAAGGTAAGAGGTTATAGCATTAGTGTTCTGATATATTAATTCATAATTTTTAGCATAGTTGACAGCATTATTTCAGACAGCATCATTATAGGGTTTGATGTTAACGTATAATTCAAGTAAGAGTCTATTCACAAATTTGTGAGCTTTGAAATAAGCAAAGAATTTGAAAGGTCCATATTCTACTCTGCTATATAAATCCAAGAGAGCAGTAGCATAGTCATCAACAGATTCATCAAGGCATTGTTGGCAATGTTCAAGTTTAGTAGTTCAAATTTCAACTAGAGTTTGAGAATGAAAGGTAGCAGGGAAGTTAATAATGAAGTTAGTATTATGAGCAGATTTAATATTATCTTATATTCTGATTCTATTAGAGTTAATATTAACCAAAGCTTAGTTTTTAGTCCACCAAGTAGCAGTAGCTTCTTTAAGGTATACAGATACAACTTGGAGCTTGTTGGCATTAGTAATTCTGTTAGCATTGCAGACTTTGTTAAATTCAGTGAGCCAAGTTATAGGATCCTAATTTCTACTATAAAAGTAAGGTAAATCAATTATTCAAGCCTCTCTTCTAGGAGAATTATTGATAGCATTGGTATTGTTAGTCAAAGCAGTAGTAGTATTGAGCAGAGCTACTATCAATTGGGTGAAAGTATCAGTAAGTTCCTAAAAGTTTTGTTGATTAGATTAAGTCATATTTCCTTGTTATAGTTGATTAGAGAGTAATTGTTGTAGTTCTAGTTGATTAAAGAGTAATTCTAAATCAAAATCTTCTTCCTTATTAGATGAATTTAATTATGCAGTTTGATATTTAGCTGTTTGAGAGTCAGCAGTTTTATTTATGTTATAGACAATATCAAAGAAATTATTGTTAAAACTGTTTGTTAGAGTAAGAAAAGTATATATTTCCTATTGAGCTTGATCATAAGATTTAGGTTCCTTGAAATAACAGATACTTAGAAGAAGATATGCAATGAGAGTTCAGATATTTGGGGTGTTTAGATTATTACTGAGAGCTTAGAAGTAGTTCTAAGTATGTGATATGTAGTGTAGAGCAAGATATTCAACAGAAAACTAGATCCAAAAGCTTTCAAATCAAATATAATTACCAAGATTTATTAGGGCTTTAAAAGGATAACAGAGGTGATAAGAGATATCAGTATATATTTCAGATATAATATTTAAGTTCCAGGTATGTAGGTGATCATATTTTTGAGTTGTAAAAATATAAGCTAAGAA